GATCAAACCATCTACCTTTATAATGCGTACTACCACCTTCATGCGTCTAAAAAGGTCCAAGTTTACCACCCATCATCTTTGACTTCACTCCTTCCAACTTCACATCTCCAACTTTTCCCTTCTTTATCTCTTCATCGATGGATGGAACAACCTTCATGCTATATAATCTGATCTCATGTTCAACTTCTCCATGCTCCATAACCTCCAAGTTTAACTTTGAAACTCTCTACCCAACCGATCCGAAAGCATCTACTTGGCATGATTTGACTTCCTACTTAGTGCGTCAATAATAAGAACCAACACATGCACATGGAATCTAATAAGAGTCCGTAGTGGGCTCATCAAAGGTCCATCACTAAATCCTTAAAGCGTCATTGGTGGAAGAAACAAGAAAGTCCAATAAGATTCCATTTGATAGAGGAAAGTATTATAGTGGCCCGTTTCAAGTGATATCATGGATTGGAGACAATGCTTATGTGACACCCCGTAAATCTATCCGAATTCTATTTAGGGATTAATTAAGTAATTAATCATAATCTAATTGGCAATTTATTCTTTAAATTCCTAAAAAATTCAATAGTCGGGGACTAGTAATTGACTAGTCAACCCAAGTCAATGAGTTGTACTCTAAGCTTTGTGAATAGTTCCCTTGTTCCCTTACACTTTTCCATCTTAGTAAGGGTAATGAAGACATTTCACCTCATGATTGTATTCCAAGCTAACCTAGAAGACATCTTTCATTCTTTCCCTTACACTCTCAAAACAAAAGTTCTTCCTTCTCTCTAGAAATTTAGCTAGCTTTTCCTTCAAGCTAAGTTTGGGCATTCCAAGATCCTCAAAGTTTGTCTCCAAGATTTCACCTTTCTTACTCTTGAGCATCTAGGAGGTAAGATCTATGGTCCTTTTGTGTTTTTAGTTCTTTCTAAGGTATTTTTTTCTAAAGATGAAATCTTTATGGTATTTTGGTGTGTTCTTGAAGTTGGTGTTGAAGGTGAACCTTGTTAGGAGCTTGAAAAGGTGTATTAAGTGAAGGTTTTGTCTACAAGAGGTAACCCATTACTTACCTATATGATGATTTCTTGGATTCTACATATGATTTTGCTATGAAATGTGAGTGTTGATGCATTGTCTTGTGAAAATGCATATTTAGAGCTTGTTATTAGGTTCTTGTATGCCATTGCTTGGCTATTCCTTTGATTCAAGTCATATTGTTGTATTTGGTGAGATTTTGGGTGTTTTGGACTTGAATTTGAGCTTGGTGTTGAAAATCCCCGAAGGGATATTTTGGTACAGGGTTGTGTACTCGCGGGTAGGGGTTCACCCGCCGCCCCACCCGCGGGGTACGTGGCTTGTGGGATGTGGTTCCCGCCGGCGGAACCACGGGTGGGGGTCCACCCGTGGAACCCCCACCCGTGGGGTACAATGATGGTTTGTGTGGGGATTTGTTCTCCTTGATTCTTTTGACTCGGTAATTGATGTTTTGACTTCCCGATGTTCTTTTGTTGAACTATTTGAGTGTCTTCTTGATGTTTCGTATGTCTAGAACTATATGGTAGGAATCCATGTAGGTTTTGGTGTCTTGAATCGTGCTAAGTGTTCAACATTGTGATTCGTTGAACCATGATGAGTCTTGTATGTTCTTCGGAACTATGTTTTGTTTACCTGTTTGATAAGCATGCTAGTTTGATGTTGAAATACTAGCGTGTGTGGTTTGTTCTTTCCTATTGTGGATGATAACTTGTGTTGATCATCGTTGTTGTCGGATTGTGATCCTTCCTTGATTAAGTATGGTTTCATATCTTTGTTGTGATCCATTGATTTATTCCTACGATGATTGTGTGTGTTGGATGTACCTGAATTGCACGATTAATGGTATGAGACATTAATCACCAAGGTACAGATGTGGTCCTCGTGGTGGCCATGCATGAGTTTGGTGGTTTATTATCGTGAGTATAGCTCACACAGTTTGGGGATCTTGTGATTGTGATCTTGCAATGTACCCTCGTGTACTGTGCGTTCGGCGGTTTTGTTTGGCGGTTGTTGGAGGGGGAACGACGGTTCCCGGAGGCAAAAGGTTGGACTTGGAAGTATAGGGTGGCACTCGGAGGTAAATGTTGGAACCGTAATAAGGCCGGGGGTAGGCATAAGGTTGGAACCGGGCATAAGGTTGGAACTTGTGACATGAAGTGTCATTGTGGCATGAAGTGCCAATGTGTGTGATTGTTTATCCTCTTTTGTTGAGTATGTTGAGTGGTATTCTACTTTGTGATCAGTAGAATACACCTCGAGTTATACTTGTTGTTGCTGCTGTCTTTGCCTTGATGTTTCTCTTTGTGATCAGTAGATTACATCCTAGGTGATGTTGAGTTGTTCTGTTGTGTCTTGTCTTGACGTGTTGGGATGTGATTCCCTTGTTCTTGAGAGTGGAATACAGTTTGTAATGTTGACTTCTATCTTTGGCTTTGAACTGATACATACAATATTCCGTTTCGAAATGATTTTGTAATAAACTATTTATCTATATATGCTATTGACGCGTATTGATGGGTTACCAGCATTATTCGCTGACCGGGCGTCGTCCCATTTACTAATGTGCTTTTCAGGTCCCGAGTAGTGGCGAGCGCGATATAGAGATGGCTAGTGTAGTTTCCCCAAGACTCTTTTAGTTATGTTTTGGGCCTGTGTGCCTCTTTTGATAGACTTCTTAGATTGATGTTGTTGCCTGTGCGTTCACTTAGTGTGGACGTGGCATAACACTCTCCGTTTTCCAGTTTTATATATTTAGACTTCCATTGTGTTTTGCTTATGCTTATGGTTAGAATATCTTGCATGTTTTATAAGTTTAAAATGACATGAAAATCGGGGGTGTTACAGCTTATAAGGTTAATCTTAGGGGAGCGTAATAAATTTATTTTATGCGATACGAAAAATGGTTTAATTGGATATAAATTTATTAGCAAAAGTGAAAAAAGAATGTTTTGGTAAAATAGAAAGGTGTGTTATAATTTAACTAGAAATAATAGTTACTGGTCACAAGATTGGCCGATCACATTTTCGAAGTAAGATTAATTAATTGGACACATGAAATGACCAAAGTTCTTATCTCCCGAATAGCCGAATGCCTCTCACTCCTTCTGATACAAGATTGCCCTTCAAGTTCCTGTGTAACAATTCCTGTTGATGGTGAACAAAAGCCATAGCCAAACACTAACTCACATTGGGTTATTACTGAAAAAACCGGTCTTTAATCACGGTCAATTGTACGTGGCTTTTCCCGAGTTACCCATCTTGATGGCCTTAAGGTGTTAGCTCTAGACGAGGATGGACAAGATTGTATTGCTAATACCAATGTCGTCTACAAAGAGGTTTTCAATAATGTGTAAATACAACCGGTTATATTTTTTTATTTCGAAGATGGCAAAATTGCTATATATCTACACAAAAAATATATCTTCCATACAAATGAATTAGGATAGCAATTGATTCCAATAACTGAGTTGCTAGAGAACGAGCACATTTGTCCAATTTATAAAACTCCTAAACAATGATATATAAAATTTCTAAAGTTTCAGCACTGCATGCGTAAATCTACACATTAGCTATAAATTCAGCAATTATTTGCTCGAATTCAAGCAGGGATAACATCAGAAAACATAATCGATCTAAACTATATTTACAATTGCACTATATAATATTTGATGTTATAATTTATATAAATATATATCGATCGAAATATTCTTAATATATTATAACAAATCCATTTCGTGCATCGCACGAGTGAAAATACTAATTTAACTAAAAATAAGAGCACTTTCTGTCTATTCTGTTCACATTTAATATTGAATATTTTTTTAAATACTAAAAATAAGAGCACTTTCTGTCCACATTTAATATTGAATATTTTTTTTTTTTGCAAATGCTACTGACTCTAGGCTCTATTACAATGTAGTATTTGTTCATATACTTTCTCAACCTACTGAAACATAAAGAACCAATAATGCCTCCACTGAGACTCGAACGCACAACCTTCCAAATAAAAGTCCAACCCGAGTACCATTAGACCACATAGTCTTGGTCATTTAATATTTAATATATTTATCCTTAATATGTAAAATATTAATTGTTAAACAATTTAAAATTTTTATTTCTTGTCTATTGGCTGGAAAGGGTAAATTCTAAAATGGGAAAAATTTCTACTACTTTCTAAATCATAGCTAGATTATCAATCAATTTCCATTGATTTTAAAATAAGATTAAATCAAATAAAATCATCAAAAATTACAATATACCGTAAGCCAGAATATATAACATATATCATTATTTTTCTTTGAACATCAGCAAATCCAACATTTTAAGCAAAAATTAAATATAATATTTTTTCTTTGGTAACATCACAATATAATGCTTCCTTATTAATCGGTCAATGACAACATTTCAACCAATACGATATTGGATTTCATTCCTAATAATAATCAATTGATGAGCAATATAATGTACAACTAAGACCATCTCCAAAGGCAGCGCCATTGCGCCAAAACACCAAAAAAAATGCTCCAACCCAGCGCCATTTCACCAAATTTTTGGCGCACTGTGAACAGTGCTGCGCCATTTTTGGCGCAGCACTGTTCACAGTGCGCCAAAGCGCTATATATATATTTTTTTTTCATTTTAACCCCTCTTGTTTGTTTAATTCCATTTGTGTTTTGTTTTTTGTTTTAATATATTTGTATATTTTGTTAAATTGTTAACTATAAATTTTATATTATTTAAAATGAATTATATCATTTGAAAGATCTCATCAAGACGATTAAAAAAAGTCTAATATTGAACATAGATTAATTAAAAATGAAAACACATAAAGCTTAATTATAACAAAATTAAAGGAAATTACATACTTAATTTAAAGCTAACACATAAAACTTAATTAAAACTACTTTAAACATACTTAATTTAAAACAAACACATAGAACTTAATTAAAACTACTTTAAACATACTTAATTCAATAATCTCCTAGGCCAGCATCATTTCCTCCCAAATGATTAAAATATTGAGTAAACTGACTGCTTGATTCTTCTCCTCCAAGTGGTTGACGAGCTCTCTTTGCATGAATTTGTAATTGTGTATTTTTAAGCCAATCACGCCTTATTGGATCTGTGATGGAATCAACATCTATGTTCATGATTCTGTTATCTTCCTGCTGTTCCGCCAACTGTAGTTGCTTTGCTTCATTTTGAAATTTTATCGTTTCATTTTGAGCTTTTATCATTTGAAGCTCATAATTTTTTTGGAGTTGAGTTTGACTTTGTTCGAACATTTGTGCGATCTTTTCATTATGTTCTGTGACTTTGGCAAAATAATCATGACATTCTGCAAATGCTTGCTTCTTCTTTTTTTCCTTGTTACGCCCGGTAGGACGTTCATTGTTCAAGCCCTGACTTTCGAAATCATCGTCTAAGTTAAGGCAAAACGATGATGAACCTATTGACTTATCGCCTTGTGACTCTGCACCTTCAATGTCAGAACTTCGCTTTCGACTTGCAACACTTGGTTCTCTACCCGAAGGACTTTGAAATTTCTCCAAGTCTTTAACAATAGGCCATACATGATCAAATTTAAAACCATTTTTAAATTTGGCATCTTGTTCCATTAGTGCTTTTGCCCTATTAATCTGTTATAAACCACAATTAAAGTAAGTAAATAATGCAAACATTCAAAGTATTCACAATTTATATATAAACACAAAATACTCACAATGTCTGTTTCTGAAGCTCCACTCGGATTCAAGTTCTCAACCTGTACAATACATCCTCTGAATTTGGCGACAGCTTTCATTATAGTTTGCATCCGGGACGTAATTGACCTCAATGATCGAGTGCTTCCAACATTTGCTGGTAGCGCTTCATGATAAGCATTCATAATACGAGTCCAAAATACGTCCCCAGCTTGATGATGACCCGTAGCTTTATCTTGGCAAATATTAACATACACATGACAAAGGAGTTTATCTTCCTCAATAGAGTATGAACTAGTTCGAATTGTGCGTGCCTTGGACATTTTTTAAAAGAGGATGGAGAGGAATATAGAATAGAGAATTCAAAGAGCCATGAGTTATATGAATAGAGAATTCAAAGAGTTGTGGTTTCTGATTTTGTGGTGTACTATTATATAGAGTGAAAGCAAAAATCAATTAATGGCTAAGATGGTTGTGATATAATCCTACGGTTGAAAACAATTGCTTTTGGGATTTGGGAAAGATATCATGTCAGATCTTGGATTGTGTGTTGGAAGTATATGAATACCAATTAATGGCTAAGATGGTTGTGATATAATCCTACGGTTGAAAACAATTGCTTTTGGGATTTGGGAAAGATATCATGTCAGATCTTGGATTGTGTGTTGGAAGTATATGAATACCAATTAATGGCTAAGATGGTTGTGATATAATCCTACGGTTGAAAACAATTGCTTTTGGGATTTGGGAAAGATATCATGTCAGATCTTGGATTGTGTGTTGGAAATATATGAATACCAATTAATGGCTAAGATGGTTGTGATATAATCCTACGGTTGAAAACAATTGCTTTTGGGATTTGGGAAAGATATCATGTCAGATCTTGGATTGTGTGTTGGAAGTATATGAATACCAATTAATGGCTAAGATGGTTGTGATATAATCCTACGGTTGAAAACAATTGCTTTTGGGATTTGGGAAAGATATCATGTCAGATCTTGGATTGTGTGTTGGAAGTATATGAATACCAATTAATGGCTAAGATGGTTGTGATATAATCCTACGGTTGAAAACAATTGCTTTTGGGATTTGAGAAAGATATCATATCAGATATATAAATACATGGCATACACACTTATCTTTCACCATAGCAATCCTGAGATATGAATCCCTCACACCCCTTTTCATCATCACCCCAACACCCATCTTCATCCTCGCAAGAGGATGACGATGATCTCATTACTACAATACAATCACAACAACAAGCACTACTAAGTACGTATGCTAACAACAATGCTGCCATGGCTTACTGTTTGGAGATTATGTCTACTCAAGCCATCAACCCAAGTCATGGCGGTTCAATTTCTGGGCATAGAGTGATTCACCGTGACCGTGAAGATGGTGATCGAAGATTACAGGCTGATTATTTTTCAGAAAATCCAAAATATAATGAGGCAATATTTCGTAGACAATTTCGAATGAGTCGAAATTTGTTCTTACGAATTGCCAATGCTGTTGCAGAGCACGACAATTACTTTGTGCAACGGAGAGATACAATCGGTAGACTAGGCTTGTCTACTTTACAAAAAGTAACAGCAGCATTTCGAATTTTGGCATATGGAGTAGCAGCAGATGCAACCGATGAATACATCCAAATTGGAGAATCAACAGCAATTGAAAGTTTGAAGAGATTTTGTAGAGCGGTCGTAGAGGTCTTTGGACAACGCTATCTAAGAGCGCCAGATGCTAATGATGTTGCAAGGTTGCTTGAAATTGGTGAGAGGCGTGGCTTTCCAGGGATGCTTGGGAGTTTAGACAGCATGCATTGGACATAGAAAAACTGTCCAACAGCTTGGGCCGGACAATATGCTGGGCGTAGTCGAGAACCAACTATTGTTCTCGAGGCCGTAGCTGATTATGATTTGTGGATTTGGCATGCACATTTTGGTTTGCCGGGGTCGAATAATGATATTAATGTGTTGGAGGCATCACATTTGTTTGCAAACATTGCAAATGGTACGGCACCTCCTGCTCATTATGTTATTCAAGGGAAAGTGTACGATACAGGATATTATTTAGCTGATGGGATATATCCGAAATGGTCAACCCTGGTGCAAACTATTCATCAGCCCCTAGGACCAAAGAAAAAGTTATTTGCAATGATGCAAGAAGCATGTAGAAAGGATGTAGAACGTGCATTTGGGGTCCTTCAATCAAGATTTGCAATAGTCAAGGGACCAGTACGTTTTTGGGATAAACATGTATTGCATGATATAATGACATCATGCATCATAATGCATAATATGATAATTGAAGATGAACGTGATGAGCAAGTCGATATACAAAGTTGGAGAGAAGCACCGGCTCCTGAGGTTGATATATGTAGAGATGAAAGAATTGTCTTTGAAGAGTTTCTTGCTCGACATAGGCAAATAAAAAATAAAGAAGCGCATTATGCGCTTCGTGATGCATTGATCGAGCATATGTGGGAACATTATGGTAATTCTAATAATTAAATGTAGCGGGTGTTATTTATTATTGTGGAATAAAATAATATTTGCATTATAATTATATTGTATCATATAAACATAAAATTAAAGATAAATTGTATATTATTAAAATAAAATTATATCATTTTAAAGATCTTATCAAGAAGACGATTAAAATAAAATTAATATTAAATATAATTTAATTAAAAATAAAATATATAATATAATTAAAGTCTAATTTATTAAATTACAACTATTAGTTTTGTTAAAAGAATAAAAGTATAAATATAAACTTTATGAGGGGTGTAGGAATAAAATTTGGTGTAATGGGTTGGAGATGAAAAAAATTTGGTGTAAGAATATGCTGGGAATATTCCTTTTTGGTGTAAAATTTGGTGCAGAATTTGGTGCAATGGTTGGAGATGGTCTAAGCAGCCAAAAGAATAATCAATTGATATTCCACTGGAAAGATTTACGGTGCACTAGTAAGAATTTAGAAAGCAAAACTGAAACATGAAAGTGTTTGGGAAGGGGACAAAAATCGCCCACCATGGGGCTCGAACCCACGACCACAAAGTTAAGAGCCTTGCGCTCTACCAACTGAGCTAGACAGGCAACTTGCTTATTGATGAAATGTTGAGTTATTTCTAGAAGCTTTAATCTGGACATTGGTAATAGATACCTTAGGATGTGTAAATGTGTAATGAGTTGAAGTGTATAGTTATGGTAGAAGAGGAGTTTTGGGAAGATTTTAAGATTATGCAACTTGCTTGGGATACATGTTTTTATCAGATTAGAATGCAATTTAGAGTTAGTGATCAAGTGGATAACAACGGGGTCTCATGGTAAATTTGCTACTTGCTTGTAAACGCAAGTTGAGACAAAAGTGAGTTGTGTAGTTAACACATATATATAGATAATAAAATAGAGCGATTGGTTTTCTTACTAAATCTTCCATCATGCATGCTTGAGGACTAAAGGTGATTCCATGATTAAGACCCCTTTGATGCTTCTTCAGCCAATCCTGTAGGAGTATTTTTTGAGTGTCAATCATTCAAGTCAAAGTCTCTTGCTTTGTATAATCTCTTTGAGGATTCCCCTTCGTTTTGATCAAAAAATGCCCTAACTTTTACCACTTAGTCTTAAAAATACATTTGTAGTAGGACCCAAATCCAAATACCATCATTGATGGCATAAAACACATACTATCCACCGTTAAAGTCTATATTCAAACCACACCATGTGGACAGTCTCTGTACAAGAATATAGTTTTAACAAAATAGTTCCGGTCGATGGATTCGCGGTTTCGTCTATAGCATTGGGAGCTGCACTCCACTAGAAGCGGAGGCTTGAGCTCTCTTGAAGGGTATTCAACTTGCCAATTCCATGGGCTTCAAGAAGGTTAGGTTCCACCAGACTTATGAGTTGTTACTGTTTCCCAATTAACTAGATGACATTTCCTTTTGCCTCCAGAGTTACCCCATAGAAAGCTCCGGATAACTCTTTCAATTTTTATCATATCCCGTACTCTATATAAATCAATAATATTTTTGCAATCCACATATTCTCTTCTTCCCAACCATGCCAAGGAGAAGAATAAGATTGGCTTTTATCCTCGATATAAAACCCAAAGAAAAGCCTCCTACAAGATATGAAAGAAGGGGTTATTAATGACCTAACCATCTTCTACGATACTGAGGCCAGTACGTGCAATAATGCACAACTCTTTAGGGCAAGGTCTAGTCGTATGGGCGTCTGTTGAAAAAATATAACAGATAATTGACAAGTTGAAGAACTTAATCGCCAGATATCGCACAAATTCGAAGAATTTTTAACCAAGACAACTTAGCTTCCTTCAAGGTAGAGGCTTGAGAAATTAGGCACTCATCTTCTCAATCTTACAAGGGCATCAAATTAAATTCGTTCTCTGAATTTCACAGATCTTAACGACTTAGGTTGGAGTAGGCCAACTTTAATTTAGCCTAGCTACTAGCTCTATTACATCGTAGTATCTGTTCATATACTTTCTCAACCTACTGAAACACAAAGAACTAATAACGCCTCCATTAAGGCTCGAACTCACAACCTTCCAGATGGAAGTCCATCCCGGGTACCATTGGACCACATAGTAGAATCTAAGAGAAATCAGAAACCTAACCTCGTAGGTGTCGCTGCCTTTAGAATGGTAAGAATCCTAGATGATGCATTGGTATTTGAGTAATATGAGTACCACAATTTAAATGTGTTATATAATGTATATCTTATATCCCATCAATAGGGAATTTATATCGTGCACTAGGGCGCACATTGCATTGTGTGCTCTGGTGCAAAACGACGTCGGTTTGCACTTTTTTTTTTTTTTTTTTGAAAATTTCGTTTTTCCGTGTTTGCTGTTAACTTATTAAAAAAAAATCAAGTTATGAAAATGTACATAATTGTATACTAAAATGTACATAATTATATATGAGAATGTACATAAACTTTTAACTCTTAAAAAAATCGCGTGTTCGAATGTACATAATTGTATAAAATAATGTACATAATTGTATATCATAATGTACATAATTGTATAACATAATGTACATAATTATATAACATAATACAGATACACTCTGTCGCGTCGACTCCCACACAACTTATCAAAACGATGTCGTTTTGGAGGCGCGATGCGCACAGTGCTATGTGCACCCTGGTGCAAGGTATAACGATTGCTATCAATACAGGCAGGCTTTATATAGACATAGTGATTGATTACAGACAAATTCTAGTCATTAAGTTCAACAAAACTACATAATGTAAGTCTAGTCAACTTGCACCACATAATTAAGGTCTAAATATATAACATATATTATACGGGAAAATCCAACATTCTCCCACTTGGTGCAACTACAAGCACGCAGAACCCTCATCAAAGAACAAAACACACGAATTATAGCGACATGTCCTCTATTTGACAAAGTAATATCTTCTATGCATCACATGCATTTTAATTTCCCAACTAAGGTCCTTTATGAACAAACCCAATCATCTATTCTTGGTACCTTAAAGAATTATTGTTCTCAAAATAAAATATATGTGCAACTGAAAAGAGAAAACCATCCAAATTGTACAAAAGAGTACATTGTATGATCTCTAAAATCCTTAAAAGCATGCCTTAAGTAGAAGTCTCTTAATGTTAGCATAATGCTAATTATAATCCATAACTATTTATTTAACTAAAACACTACATCTCATGGCTAAGAGCTCGGAGTTGACACATCTGTCACTCCGACTTATCAAAATAGCCATATGATAGTCAAGTAACATAAGCATTCCAAAAAACTTAAACAACAAATTAAACCAAAACTTTAGGTCCAAAATTTAGAATTTTAAATATACACCATAACTTCCCAAATAAGCTCCAAGATCCAATTTAAATGAACTGAACATTAAAGTGGGTGTTTGGTTCAAGTTATATAAGATAACTAAGGTTATATTTGCATGAGAATATAAGATTCCAATGTTTGGTTCAAGTTATGCAATTTTCCCTAGGAATGTAACATGACCTCCACATGCATAAGGTTTTTAGCTATTGCAAGGGAATGTGAGATACCATCCTCTTTCTAAGGTATTCTCATATTTCATTGTCTTATTGCTAATTTTCTCAGTTTAATCCATTGTCTTAGTTAATTAGTGTTCAAGCTCTTAGTTAATTAATTTTAAATCATTTATTTCTATATTTTACCATATCACTCTTCAACTAAACAAATTTATATTACATACCTCAGTTTTAAACTAAACACAAGAATCTAACATTCTCAGTAATCTAACATTCCCAGCAATCTAACATTCCCAAAAGTAATATAACATTTCGTAAACCAAACTAACATTCACTATTACTACTACTAATAATAATGATAATGATGTAAAATATTTTTATAAATTTGATATTTATATTTTAGGAAATAACTAACATATAACTCCAATATATAAAGTGTATATATATTATTATTATTATTATTGAAGAATATAAGAAAATATATACTGAATCGATGCATGTGCATGGTAACAATAGTGGAAAAGATGACGGAAGTTATAACGGTAGGGATATGTTTGTCCAAAATATTGTATAGTACAACTTTTATAGCATAATGTATTAAAAACATAACGGAAAAAATGAACATAAATGAAGGGTATAACCTTCATTCACACTTATTATGTCTGTAGATATAAGCCTAAAACATACATTGAAGTTCTAATTCACCAAATAAAAAGAAATAAATCAAATAATTAAATTAGTTAGTTATTATACATTTTATTATTTATTTACACTTTTAAATGCATGTATATTTTCTAATTCAAGATTACTTTTGAAATTGGAAAAACTAATGTTAATATAATATTAATTTTTTAATTCGTGATTTTGAGTTTCGTCCTCAGATCATTCTTCAAATTTTGGTAATTGGTAAAAAGAATATCAATTAATTATGTAAAAAAATATTGCCAACAAAATAATTGAAATCTTTTATTTGATAAAAGAGTGATGACAAGCAAGATTGTTTTTGTATATATTTTGTCTTATGTGAAAAATTATAAGTATCATTATAAATTATTATCGATAATATATAGTATAATTATGCATGGTATATATATAATGATATCAGGTATGATCGGTATTGTTGTTAATTGGTATTGTGAATTTTTTTTATGATCTTGGCCTCTCTATACATGGATTTTCTAGCTCCGCCCATGGGGCAACGCACTCTGTGAGTGGATTTAGCCCCCTGGATAGGAGAGTAATTTGAGTGGATTTAGTCCCTCGGAAGGCGGAGCAGTTTGAGTAGGATTTTGTCCACCGGAAAGGGAAGCAGTTTTAGTTGGATTTGATTCATCCGCCTAGAATTAATAATTGCATATTAAAATTTGAGTTATTTGTACAATTAACACCATATTTTTTTTTTATTTTTTTATTTTTTACCAGGACTATGTGGTCTAATGGTACTCGGATTGGACTTCCATTTGGAAGATTATGAGTTCGAGCCTCAATAGAGGCGTTATTGGTTCTTTGTGTTTCAGTAAGTTGAGAAAGTATATGAACAGCTACTACAATGTAGTAGAGTCAGTAACTTTCAAAAAAAAAAACACCATATTTTTTTTATTCCTTTAGATCCATATTTGTAAAGTTTGAGTTAGATCCATTATATATATATATATATATATATATATATATATATATATATATGTACTTATATCTACTATACTAATAAGAGCCCAAGAGAGTTAGGCCTATAATGGGTAGAAAAAATGGCGGTCGAATTTTTTAATTAAATGATTGGCTCAGATTGATCAGATTTTAATTTTTCCTTTAAGATTTCCTAATTTATCCTTAATGAATATGATTATCCGTTAACTTTTCCGTTAAATATTATCTTTTCCGTTAATTTCTGTTAGTTCACCGTTAACTTACTCATTGATTTCAATAAGAAAGGTCTTAGGTTCGAACCTCATCCCAATTAAATTAAATAATAATTTAGTAGC